AAAAGGGCTAAACCATTTTATTCCTGATTCTGTTCCAGCTCAACATGCTAGACAGGACTTAGTTTGAAATACTTTCTCACCTCACCTAGCAAATGCATAAAATCTAGATCAGTGATTGCGAACCTTTTAGAGACCGAGTGCCCAAACTGCAACCCAAAACCCACTTATGCATCGTTGGGTACCGGTTGGGTGTGGCTCATTAGGTGGGTGTGACCCATTGGCCCATTAGGTGGGTGTGGCCTATTGTGTGGGTATGACCCATTGGGTGGGTGTGGCTGCGGTGGTAACAGCAGACTGGATGGGACTAAAAAGTTCAATCAATCAATTCCAACTTTGCAAGATCTTTTTTTTCCTGCGAGAAGTTGAAATTGACTGATTGATTGAACCTTTTTTTTGTAACGGCGGCAGAGGCCTAAAGTGAAAAGGTTTTATAAAACCCAGCTGAAGGCCTAGGACTGGGGCGACGGCACGCATGCCCACAGAGAGGGCTCTGAGTGCCACCTCTGGCACCCGTGCCATAGGTTTGCCAAGTGCTTTTTTTGTAAAAAAAAAAAAAAAAAGGTGCCAGAATTCACACACGTCATACAACCCGCCTTGCCTACCCTATAAGGTTCCATCCCAAAAAGGTGCTGGAACTCCTTTCTGGGTGTTCTATGAGAAAAAAAGCCCTGGGTTCACCACCACTGATCTAGATCATTAATTTTATTTAGTTGATTAGGTTTTCTTGCCTGCTAGAGATGCAAGTTGTTATGAAATTGAAAGTATTTTAGAAAATACTAATATTGTGAAAGGAAGAGCAGAGCTCCCTTGACAACATTCACAAATTTTGTCCATTGCTCTCATTTTAACCACAAGTTTCCTGTTGGGTTCCAGAATTAGGAGCCATGAAGATATCAGACAAGTTAAGCACTCCACGCTTCTTCCAAATTGCGTATAGCTTTTCTCACATAAAGAGTGAATTTGGATAATTCAATCAAAATCTGATTTTTGCTCAGCGAGTAAATCAACATCAACTGAGGAGTGATAATGACTTACAGTATGTGAGAAATATCAAAGATCAACCATCTCAAACAATTCATATTTATGTCATTGCAATAGTTTTCCAAGGAGGCATTTCACTAAGAGACCTGTTATTTGGCAAATGATAGAATATGTTGGTTAAATTTGGTTAAATTTCTATTTAGCTAGAGACATTTACAGTATGACTGCATGTCTGATTTTCTTTTACATGTATCTTTGATTGACTATAAAATCACTTTTAGTCTATGTGGGCTGCTATAAAGATCCAGGATCATATTTAATAATATATAACCATATATCACACATGGTGTAGAGTATAACAGTGAGATAGATAGATAGATAGATAGACAGACAGACAGACAGACAGACAGACAGACAGACAGACAGACAGCAGATGATAAGATAGATTCTGTTGCTAATCACCACCACTAATACTGTTCATAATCAGTAAATAGGATTTTTTGAAGATTATTCTTTTCTCCTGCTCCTTTGTGAATATGAATCATTCATACTGTGAAAGACTGATTGTGTCTACCATTAGATTATAAACAATCCCTGTCCCCCCAACAGTCACTTGCCTGCATTTTAATAGAAGGTGGGAGTCTTCCCTTTTGATATGCTTGAATCAGGAATTTTGTGGGGACAGGGGTAGGTGGATGGGTAAGGCAACCTGATTTTAAAGTAAGGGAAACACTAATACTTTCAGGCAACATGTGATCATCAGGTAGAAATTTTAATTGCTTATAATTCTCTGTGCAGAAGAGGCTTTCTACATTAACAACTGCACAAAATGCTGAAATCAGCAGGCTTCTATTTTATCATTACTGCGTCTCCCTTCTAGGAATAGCCTTGAGAATCCATATGTACCTCTTAAGAACAAAATCTGTCTCTTGAAATCATCATAAATGTATCCAGTCTATTAAATGCAGCTTCTAAATAAAACAAGGCTAGGTTGTTCAATTGTTCATCTAGCAAGGCTAGCTTGTTCACTTGAATTGTTTCAAAGAAATAGAAGAAAAAAATGAATGCAATTAAAGGGCAAAAGTGCCTGCTCTCTTGGGGCCACTGTGTCAAACTAGTATTGATGTTTCAGTTCTTTTCTTGGAATAATCTTTGGAGGGGGTGCATCTACGAACACTGATCACAGAAACGGATGTTTCAAGAAACTACCAGATATTGCAATCCTAGCCATTTTGATTTGAAAGAAATTAATTACACTAGCATTCATAATGCCTTGGGGAGCCATTATCCTTCAGTGATGGAGGGCATGCTTGGTAAGTAAGCTAGCTAGTCCTGGGTATTCATCACTAGATGGATCTTAACTGGAGTTGGGAAAAATATTTGGCAGAATTTGAAAAACATTCACTGCATACAGCTATTACTTTATATATACTAGTAATCATGGGCCAGTGATAAGTAATCTTTTCCATTTGGTATTTGGAGTATACAGTGCAGATATTTCTCCTATAAAAGAGAGAGCTGCCAACGAGAGACTTTAACAAACAAGTATTATGGGAAAAATACCTACTTAACAAACAAAAAAATATTCCATCCTAACTGGATCTAATCTTTGCTTCTTTTCTGGAGCAAGAGGATTCACTCACTTCACTTCAATTAAACATCCGTTTGCAGCCAGCTGTCATTTTTTTCATTTTCTGAGTTGGTTACATGTATTCCAGAAGCATATTTGTAAAGATTCAGGTGCTTTGTTTGTGGCACAGCAGCTCCTCATTTAATATAGTTACTTTTAATTAAAATGCAAACACAAATACTTACATGGTGTGTGAAGCATGGCAACTGCCTTAAGAGGTCTGTGGATACATTGGCACCTACAGACACAGCCTTGCCTACCTTAGTTTAAATAAATGTATCACAACAAAGTTGAATCTTCCCTTCATTTGAATTAGATATGCTTGTTTATTTCTTCAAAACACTGGGGGGGGGAGCTGTATTATTATGCCTAGCTCTTTTACAACAGCACACCTTGTTCAGAGTTGATTTTTATACAATTGTCCAAAAAACAGAGCCAGAAAAGGGAGTACAACATAATCACTGTACAAGTCAGATAAGAGTTTGCTTTAATTTGTTAAGTTATTTTCAGGCACTTTCTTGTGTATCCCAGTATTTTGTAGAAATACTCAGTGCTATTGCTGCTTAGGAGCCATGATGGTGCAGTGGTCAAATGCAGTATTGCAAGCCAATCTTGCCTGCAGTATTGCAGTATTAAATGCAGTATTACAAGTTAACCTTGCCCACAACCAGGAGTTTGATCCTGCTCGGCTCAAAGTTGACTCAGTTTTCCATCCTTCTGCAGTTGGTAAAATGAGGACCCAGATTATCCTCAGAGATGCTGCAAAGCACTATGAAGCAGTATATAAGTCTAAGTGCTGTTGCTATTGCTAAGTGCAGCTAGGCAGAGCTTTAAATGGGCTTTTTCTTTTGATGAACGTTTGATTAAGGTGACCTCTTGATTAAAAGAACACTGAGCAGGAAGTAGCCCTCTACTTCTAAGTAGTGTAGAGTGTCCACCGTGCTCAGTTTGAAAAGTATTTGCATTATAGACCAACAGTTGAGGGCAGCTGCAATGCCTTAAAAGTGCCCAGCACCTGGTCTTCACAATTGATGATTACTTTGCACATGCAAGTATTTAGATAATTTCCTTTTAAACATTAATCAGGGATGTTTCACAGGCCCCTTCCCTGAGCTACTCAGAATCTGGCAAGCTGTGCAAGTGTTGCTTCAGTTGGCATTAGCTAATTGTCATGTTTCTGTAAGGCAAGTGCCAGATCAGAATGTTGAACTCCAACTACTTCATAATTCATGAATTATATATGTTTTCAATTTTTAATCTTGTTCTGTCTGATATCTCTTTTTCTTCTCTCCCCATGTGTGTACATATTCTCACTCTTTTCATTCCCATCTTAAGCAATGTAGGAAAATGTCTTTAACTGAATCAGTCCATTAACCCATACTATAGTCGGATGGCATCAACAATGATGGGAGACAATTTGGATAAGAAATGTTAAATTTACACAAGCTCAAAATTTGAGAGAAAATTTTTATAAAATGTTTTATAGATGGCACTTAGATCCTAAAAAATTATCTTGTATGTATTCCAACATACAGCCCAAATGTTGGAGATGTGGCAATAATGATGCGACATACTTTCATATTTGGTGGAATTGTAAAAAAGTAAAGGCTTTTTGGATTATGATTTGGTGGAACATTCAAAAGATTTTTAGAAAAAAGATAAAGTTTACTCCTCAACTATTTTTACTTGGTATTTTTGTTGACTTAAATGAAAAAGAAACTACTTTGATGTTGAATTTATTAACTGCAGCAAGGTTACTAGTAGGTTTATATTGGAAGAAAGATTCCTTGCCTACTTTAGAAGAATGGATATTTAAAGTATCTAGTTTTGCAGAAATGGCAAAAATTTCTGCTTATTTAAAGGATCATACACAAGAAAGATATATTATTGTATGGGGAAGGTGGATAGATTATATTCAGAAAAAGTATGGAATTAAAAAGTTTATTTATTTTATGAATGAATATTAAATATTATAGAGAATTGTTTTATAGGTTATGGAGTTAAAGGTTAATTATGATATTTTTTTCTCTTTTTTCTTCTTTTTTCTTAATTATTATAATTTAATTTTTTTTTTAACCCTGTATTCTGCTCTGGGAAGTGAAGGGAGGGGGGTTGGGGGTGGGAGGGAGGGTAAGGGGAGGGTTTCTCTATTTTAAAAAAAAATATTGTATTTTTATAAATGATTGTATGTTTTAAAAAATAAAAAATTTTCAATAAAAAAAAAAAACAATGACCTGGATCATCATTTCAGGTTTTCAGAAAAGAGCTTTTCCAGACTAAGCCCAGAGGTACCAGGACCTTCTGCACAGAGAACCTGTGCTGTGCCAGTGAGGTCTGGTTCTTTACTTCATTTGTCTCACATCTTTGTTTTTTTTCTTTTCTTCTGCAGGCTTAAACAGGCATTCAATCAACAGATGCAGAAATGAATAACTCCACGAACATAAGTTATTTGGAGGACAGAATGACCCTGCCAAGTCCTTATAAAACAGTTGAGGTTGTCTTCATTGTCCTGGTGGCTGGTTCCCTCAGCCTAGTAACCATCATTGGGAACATCCTGGTTATGGTGTCCATAAAAGTCAATAGGCACCTACAAACTGTCAACAATTACTTTCTTTTCAGCTTAGCCTGTGCTGATTTGATCATTGGTGTCTTTTCCATGAATCTGTATACGCTTTACACTGTGATAGGTTCCTGGCCATTAGGACCTGTGGTTTGTGACTTGTGGCTGGCCCTTGACTATGTAGTCAGCAATGCTTCTGTCATGAATCTTCTCATTATCAGTTTTGATAGGTATTTTTGTGTGACCAAACCTCTGACCTATCCAGTCAGGCGGACCACTAAGATGGCAGGGATGATGATTGCAGCTGCCTGGGTTCTTTCTTTTATCTTATGGGCACCTGCAATTCTCTTTTGGCAGTTTATTGTAGGACAAAGGACGGTAGCCGATAAGGAATGCTACATCCAGTTCCTGTCCAATGCGGCTGTCACCTTTGGCACAGCTATTGCAGCTTTCTACCTGCCTGTTGTGATCATGACCATTCTGTACTGGCAAATATCCCGTGCTAGTAGGAGCAGGATTAAAAAAGACAAAAAGGAGGGAGGCCAAAACCAGGATCCAGCATCACCAAGTTTAGTTCAAGGTAAAATAGGGAAACCAAATAATAACAACCTCCCTACCAATGAAGATGGGACTGAACACAATAAAATCCTGAATGGTAAAGCCACTGGGGAGCCAGTAATGGAGAACTGTGTTCCAGCAGAAGAAAAAGAGAGCTCAAATGACTCCACTTCTGTCAGTGCAGGTGCTTCCAATGTGAAAGAGGATGAAGCAATCACAGAGAATCCCAGAGCTTCTGTCTCCCAAGTTAATGCAAAAGTGGAGAATTCTAAATTGACGTGCATTCGGATACTCACAAAGTCCCCCAAAGGAGATTATGGTGGCTCTACTAATACTGCTGTGGAGATTGTCACCACTGATGGACAAAATGGGGAGGAGAAGCAGAACATTGTAGCACGTAAGATTGTCAAGATGACAAAACAGCCTGCCAAAAAGAAGGCCCCTCCTTCCAGGGAGAAAAAAGTAACCAGGACTATTTTGGCTATTCTGCTGGCTTTCATCATTACTTGGACACCATACAATGTCATGGTACTCATCAACAGCTTCTGTTCATCTTGTATTCCCAACACAGTATGGACCATTGGTTACTGGTTATGCTATATCAATAGCACCATCAACCCTGCTTGCTATGCTCTCTGCAACGCTACTTTCAAGAAAACCTTTAAGCATCTCCTTATGTGTAACTACAAGAACATAGGAGCCACGAGGTAAAACCAGAATAATGGGAAGGGGGCCTCAAAATTGGGGGAAGAGAGCTCCAGATTTTATAAAACAATGCCATAGCACTTTATGCTCTAGTATGAAATCAAGAAGCTGGAGAACGTGACAACAAGTTGAGATTTTGTGCTCCCTCTCCACAATATCTGCACTTCAACAATGATAACTTTTGGATCTGTGAGTCATTTGGAGGGAAGGCTATAACTGAGTGTAAGACCTGAGACAATGTTCCTTCCTCTCTCATGGCAGAAGGGCTTTTGAATCCATTCTTCATTTGTGGGCACAACCTGTCCCCGAGAAATTCTTCTGAGCAAAGCTTTTTGGGGTTTGCTTTGCTAAAGGGAAAACTGCACAAAAGCATTTCAGGAAGCTGAACTGAGTAGGTATAATCAAGTATTCTAGAGCCATTTCCCAGTTTGTGTGTTCATTTCAAACTGAGGGAAAGTGAGTAGGGGGCGACATCTAACATACTTCATGGAAGCTATAAGAAAAACCAGAACAGTGAACATGGAATAATTCCAGTCAGTTTGTTTCTGAATTATTTATTAATATAATGTTACGGAAATGCAAAGGGAAAGGCTTGTGTTTAAGGAGCTTACTATTAAAATAGGTAGTCCTCGACTTACAACCACAATTGAGCCCCAAATTTTTGTTGCTAAGTGAAATTTTGCCCCATTTTATGACTTTTCATGCCAAGTTGTTAAGTGAATCCCTGCAGTTGTTAAGTTAGTAACACGGTTGTTAAATGAATCTGGCTTCCCTATTGACTTTGCTTGTAAGAAGGTCACAAAAAGTGATCACATGACCCCAGGACACTGCAACTGTCATAAATATGAGTCAGTTGCCAAGCATCTAAAATTTGATCATATGACCATGGGGATGATGCAACAGTCATAAGTGTGAAAAACAGTCATAAGTCACTTTTTTCACTGCCATAGTAACTTTGACCGGTCACTAAATGAATTGTGGTAAGTCGAGGATACCTGTAGTTATCTTCTCTTTTGTGGGTTTATTATACTTTGGGGAAAAATATACTTTACCTCATGATAAGAATTTTTTCAGACAAGCTTCTAAAATATAATACATCAACTTTCCCCAGCCTGATTCCTTCCATTTTTGTTGAGCATGAACTATTTTGCTGATTTGGTGTTATGGCTAGGATTAAAATCATGCTGAGCCATACTGTGATTTGTTCGGGGTTTGGGTTTAGTGTGTTGTACAAAATGGCCATTGTGGTTTGTAAATGATGATTTATGATATAGTATGATGCATCAACCTAGCCAGTGGTTTAGCTACCAAACCATGGCTACCAAAGTTTTGGCTTAAATTGAAATGTGAATCCAGCCATCGTGATATAAAAATGCTAGAATTTGGATTGATTGATTGCCATCATGATCATTTCAAAGGTACCTTGTGTTAATTGACCCTTTCTCCTTGGATCAGATTTTTCAATCAAACAGAAGAAAAAGAGGGAAATGGTAGAGCAGGGGTCTTCAAACTTGGCTCTTTTATGACTTGTGAACTTCAACTCCCAGAATTCCTCAGCCAGGCACACTGGCTGAGGAATTCTGGGAGTTGAAAACCACAAGTCATAAAAGGGTCAAATTTGAAGACCCCTGTGGTAGAGCATTTAGCACACCTTAAGATCTTTCTAAGGATGACTTCTGAAAATGGAGTGACTCTTCCAAAGAATAAAATGGGCAGGTTATATTTGTAGCCATGATCTACAATGGTACATTGAATAGACATTAACAAACTAATGTGATTGTGTAAGTTCATGGTTCAGTTAACAACTATATTACCTCTCCATTGTTTGTTTATCAAAGATTCTGTTTCTTCAAATACATAATGTGATGAGTCATACTGTATATCCAGGGCTGAAACCTATAGCATAGCATATCCTGAATTGTTAATATAAGAGATGTCAGGAAAGGTTTCATTTTGAGACACTGTCCTGCTTTATAAAGCCAAACAAGGGGGAGCAATCAATCAAGATCAGATGACCCAATGAAAGTATCTTTCCTGGAATTAATTGCAGGACACAAACATCAAGGAGGCCAATTCTTGCAGAATATTCTTAGATGCAACAAAACCGTATCTGACATTCTTGGCCTTAGGTCCATCAGCCTCCCCTATTTTCAGTAGACATTGAGCAGACAATCATAAATAACTACAGAAAAAATAGAAATGGCCAATTAAGAGTTCAAATCTGCAGAATCTTCAAATCATAGTCTGCCAGTCCTATATGTTCATGACTATCTTGCAGACATTTTTGCTATGTCATTAATACAAATTCATGAAATCAGGTATCCCAAGCATCATGTTGCTGAGAAAGAAATGTAAGTCCTAATATGATCAATCTTCATTACAAAGAAATAGCCTAGCCAGAATCTACCCCAAATAGTCAAGACAGTTGATATTATTTTAAAAGAAAAGCTTCCCAAAGCTTTTGGGATATTTTTCTTCTTTATTCCAGTTAAATCTCTTTCCATGTATCTTAAACTGGAACGTCTATGGAGATTCTTAGTCATCCAGATTATGATTGTCAAAAAGGTGGTTTTTCAAAAGACAACTGGACTTTCTTTGTTTTTCCTTGAAGATGTTTTGCTTCTCATCCAAGAAGCTTCTTCAGTTCTTCAGGTTAGAATTGAAGAAACATCTTGGATAAGAAGCGAAATGTCTTCAAGAAAAAACAAAAAAAACTCCAGTTGCCTCTTGAAAAAGCACGTTTGGGACTTAAACTGGAACAGCACATACTGTATATTTGAATTTCTATCCATACTGTATTTGCAATGGAATGTTTTTGTCCTAAACTGACTATATTTGAAAAATATGAAGAGGGGAAAGATACTAGAAGAATGGAAGGGGCAGAAGTCATTCTCCAACCATTTCCATCAGAAAATGTACAGAAGATTTAGCCATTACAGTAATAGTTGGAGTTATTAAGCTATTACATAAAATTGCTTTATTGAGTGATGAGGAGGAAGGCTTAAATGATTCTTAGGGCTGTGCATAGCTTTCAGAGGTGCTTGACTTTCAAGAAGATTCAAGTGCAAGCATTCTCTTCTTTGGGAAGCAATCAGGGTCCCTTGCTTCTAAACCAGGGATGTCAAACTGCCAGCCCGCAGGCCGGATGCATCATAGTGAAACCACACCCATCCCATTGCCGACAATTCCAAAAAAGTCATGATACATTGCGACACATCGCGTGACGTTGCAAGTTTGACACTCCTGTTCTAAACCAAAGTATAGGATTCATGCAAAATCGCACAACTGTGCCAAAGCTTTGGAGCACTTCGATCACTGCAGGAGGAGAAAGATTGAGAGGAACTTTATAACACTGTTGCCTCCATAACACACACCTCTTCATCAGAGGAAATTTAGGTTGTTTCCCATAGGCCTATTGTTTATCTGAATCTTCTAAGCCAAGGCTTACAGATAAATGGTAATAGTGTGACACCTCCTTATATTGAACAGGCTGGATGACAGGAGATCTTGGTGAAACTTTTTGCTTCCTTTCACCTACAACAGACATGTCAAACACAAGGCCCGGGGGCCGGATGCGGCCCGCAAAGTGGTTTCATGTGGCCCGCAAAGCCATCCTGGAAACAGTGAGGGAACGCCCCCCGCTGCCTTGGCCCCACTCCCAGGGTGCATGCACCCTTGACGCGAATGTAAAGCTGGCCACGCCCAGCCAGTAGGCCACACCCACTCTGTCCATGCCCACCCAGTAGGCCGCACCCACCCTGGCTACACCCATCCAGCTCTCTGAGGGCAACCGCAATGCTGATGAGGCCCTCAATGAAATTGAGTTTGACACCCCTGATCTACAAGTATCCACGTACTTAAAAATCAGAGCTTCTGTTAAGCAGTTCAGTGTGCATCTGATGTGTTCACTTTTACAACCAACATTCCTCCTCATCCAAACACCTCAGTTTCACTAACCCCTTTTTTCTTGCACCTCAGCTTCACTAATTCATTTTCTCACACCTGGCCATATTCCTAGAAAAGTAACAATGTAAATAGACAAAAAAAATGGCTTTTCAGTGGATTTTGAATGGGAAAAAGAAAAAAAAGAAGCAAAACATTGTGAAGAAACCACCCACTGAATCTATCATTATCATGTTGGTTAGAAGATCCATATTTGCTAATTGTCACTATTAATATCCTAGCTAATGTTACTGTTTCATATACTGCTTTTCATAAGTCTGCTTTCCAGTAATATAAATGATTTAAGACAGGTTGGCAACCACTTTCAGCTATGATTTGTATTTATTTGGGGAGGATGGAAAGAAGGAGGTGAGGTGACCATGTCATATAATGATGAATTTGGCATAGTTTTCAGGGTGTTGTTTAACTGTGATGTGCTTATTTTGAGATTTACATTACAGTTTTCATTTGTTTCCCATTTCAAAATGGTGGAAATTTATGGTTTTCAGCAAACATGGTTGGAGGGCTCATAGGACAAAAAGGGGACTTGGGCGTTGTGTGTAGTTTTTGGACTACAACTTGCCCACCTTAGCCTTATTTCTTTTTTATACCTAATTGGACAGTTTCCAAAAGGAACTAAGAAACAGATATTTAGGCATTCACAGATATATACATTCTTTCACCAGGTGGCCAATATGGCAGTAGACTTTGCTTTTCATTCAGTTCTCATTGAGAAATAGTGTTTGTCATTCTGTTTTGACTTAAAAATTATGTGAAGCCTTATATAACATCTTCTGGCTAAAACAACCTCTGACTCAGAAGTTGTTTTAGAATCATTTACTTGGTTTCTCCCTGTGCTTCTTCATAATTTCTCATGAGTCACAATAAGTGACTATAAACTCACCAGCAATTCATGTTCATGTCCAAACATTCTGAAAATAATTAAACCATGAGGGTTTGCTAGAATTACCCATGCCATAGTTGTTAAATTCCCACTAAATCAATTGTGTGTAATCAAAATTTGCAGACGTCTTCTCAGTATATCTTCATATAGGAGTGTTATAATTGTCTAAAGCAAGATTTTTTTAAAAAAAAAAAAGTTATAGTCTGTATATTACAAAAAAAAAGAAGATTGGACTGAATTCAATTTATAAACATAAACATTTCTCAGTACATACTTTATTCAGATTACATCTTCCGTAGAATCATTTGAACCACAGATTGGTGCTTCAGAAGCCGCAACAAACTCTCCTTTGATAAAACAGGAATGTTTTCTCAATGTGAAAATGGATGAAAGAGATGAATATGCACATTTGGCTTACATGCAGCTGGTTTTTGATCCTCCGAAGCAAAGTTTATGTGATCTTCTAAATGCAGCCATAGAAAATTTCATGCCATAAAAGATTTCCAAGTCCCAAAGATTGACAAGTTTTTAAACATGTCAATTCTCTGAATGGAGGGGATATGTAAGAATGCTCAAATATAATCCTACTTGTTTCATTCCAACTCATATAAATTGGCTAACCCATGCTTAAAACTAAATCTAATTTGCATTGTAATGAAACTGGAGGCATGTAGAGCAGATTAGAGAAAATAAAACATAATAGTTGATTTTATTGAGCATAATAGGGGAAGCAGAACAGTAATATACTGGATGATTTCTCCTTCAAGCACTCAACATTTATTAAGATTTATTGACTTATGTTTAACTAGTGATAGTATTTTCCATGCTAACCATATCTTACAATTAGTCCAGTCAGCACATTTTTGTCAGCTAGCCCAGGGCTTTTCAAC